ATATATATATACACACACACACACACACACACACACACACACACACACACATACAAACACATAAACATATATATCTTAGAACATGCTTTACTTCTATATATATAGCAAATAAATTAGTTGACTATTAGTTTTTCATGTCAGAAAAATCTGGGTTGTCATAAAAATACACATTTTTGATAAATATTTAAATGTTTACTGATGTAAAGGCAATAAATAGTTTTTCATGTCAATGCTTACATCTCAGATTCATAATTTTTGTTTCACATATCCCTTTAATGATAAAAGCAGCATCTTCTGAGTGTCTATGCCTGCCTGCACCAGAACATAGTCATTACCCTGCAAATCTGGGAACCCACATCCCCAGGGGTGATAAATCCTGCTCAGGATGTTGTTGCCAGGGGGCTCCTGCTGATGTGTGCGCTCAGACTTTTACTGCATGTTTGTGCTCTCATTTGAAATGGTAAAACTTCGAGTTGTTCTGCTTGCCCAAAGTGTTTTTAAGATTTATTTATGATGATGCTTATAGCTCTTGTTTGTTCGTTCCAGCTGCTTGCAAAAAATTTCATTATATGAATATACCACTAGTTTGTCTTTCTGCCAGTGGCTAGTACCCTTTCTTCTGGCCTTCCCTGAGTTTTCCTGGTATATCAGCTAATGCTGTAGAACACAAACACACAACCTCATGCCCACCATGTGGGTGGCAGGCTGGGTGGGATGTTTGTCTTGGCTGCACTCTGCATGTGGGGCTGGATTGGCCACTGGCTGATATAGGGGTCCTTCTGGCTGGCTGTGCTCCACTTGCTTTTAATCCTTACCTGGTCATCCCTATAGGTCCCCATGGTTCTGAAGAGGGGAAGCCCCAGAGGATGTACTCCTCTAAACCTATCACCTCAAATCTGCTAACATCTCATTAATAGATAGCAGGATCAGAATGGTACCCCACGTTCTGCCATGGTCACCAAATGTAATACAGGATGCCTAGGAATATTTGAATTTCAGATGAACAAGGATTACTTTAGGAAAAATTACTTATATTAAAAGATCATCTGTATTATTACACTAATTAGAAGGGCTTCTATCAAAAATCAGAAAATAACAAGTACTGGTGAGGGTGTGGAGAAATGGGAACACTGTGCACAGACTGTTGGTGAGAATGTACAGTGGCTCAGCACCATGGAAAGCAGTATGGCGGTTCCTCAAAAAAATTAAAATTGGAATTTTAAATTAAAATTAAAAGTGGAATTGCAAGCTGGACATGGTGGCCCACGCCTGTAATCCCAGTGGCTCAGGAGACTGAGGCAAGAGGATTGTCAGTTCAAAGCCAGCCTCAGCAACTTAGTGAGGCCCTAAGCAACTTATTGAGACCTTGTCTCAAAATAAAAAAATCAAAAGGGCTGGGGATGTGGCTCAGTTAAGTGCCCTTGGGTTCAATCCCTGGTGCCAAACAAAGAAAACAAAAACAAATGGAATTACTGTACTATCATGCAATTCCACATCTGGGTACATATATCCCAAAGAATTGAAAACAGGGTGCTGTGGTTGGTATGTTTGTGTCCCCTACAGAATTCATGAACTCCAACATGACAGTATTGAGAGATGGGCTTTTAGGAGATGATAAAGTCATGAGGTTGGAGCACTCATTAAATGGGGTCGTTGAGCTTTAAAGGAATGGAGAGAACCTAGCTAGGTCCTTTTTGTGCTTCTGCCATATGAGGACACAACAAGAAGGCTCCCCATTGGACACAGAATGTTTATGCCTTGATCCTGGACTTCCCAGTCTCTGGAACTGTAAGAAATAAATTTCAGCCCAAGGTATTTTGTTATAGGAGCACAAATGGATTAAGACACAGGTTATCAAAGAAAGATCTATACATTCCTGTCTATAATAGCGTGATTCACAATAGCCAAAGGTGAAAGCAACCCCAGTATCCAGGTACATGGATGTATAAGCAAAACGTGGCTTATACACATAGTAGACTATTAGCCAGCCTTAAAAAGGGAAGGACATTCTGACACGTATTGCTACATGAGCAACCTTGAGAACATTAGGTTGAGTGAAATAAGCCAAAAGGGAATTCTGTATGGCTCCAGTTATATGAGGTACCCAGAGTCAAATTAATAAGGATAGAACGTTGAATCTGAATTGTGGTTTCCAGGGGCTGTGAGTGTGGCAGGAGGGAATTATTGAATAGATACAGAATTTCAGTTTTGCAAAACAAGTTCTGGAGGTGGATGGTGGTGATGACTGCACAGTATTATGAATGGACTTTATGCCACTGAACAGTTCGCCTTAAAATGATTAGGATGATAAATTTGTTATGTGTATTTTACCATAATTAATAGTAAAAAATAAAAATGAAGTACTTGTAGTTAATTTAACTGGGCCTCTTGTATTTTTATTTGGTAAATTTAGCCTGTTATGCTCAGGATGCACTCCTCAGAAAGACCACAAGTCTTCTGCGGGGCCCAATTTAGCTGATGTTCCTAGGTCACCAGGTCTGGCCTCTGCAAAGCTCCTATTAGAGAAGATGGAGGCTGCCTTGGTCAGGAGGGGAGAAAGAGGTGAATTCAGGGAAGAAGCCTCTCTCCAAATTTCTGGAAGGTCCCACATCCTTCCTCTTCTGGTTAACAGAGGAGGAAGAGCTAGGTGGGATGGAGTGTGGCCGTGGGAGATGCCCCTTTCGTGGGGACACCTGTTGGAGCTGCTGGTGAGCATCTAATTCCCACTGAATCTGCTGAGCCAAGGCCCTGCCTGGGGCCAGTGCACCGATCCCAGCAGAAGAAGAGACAGAAGAGTGCAGGGCACCTTTGGGCCTGAGTGTGCTTGGGCCGTGCCAGTTCCCTGCCTGGTCCAGGCAGTTCTTACTTACTACTCATCTAGCACTCTATGTGTATGTGTGTGTGTGTGTGTGTGTGTGTGTGTGTGTGT